GATCTCACCCCTCACCTCCGATCAAGTAAGTATGTATACAGTTGTTGTGAAGGAACCATCTGTGTTCCATCGCCGCAGACGCACAGGGGACCAACATGAACTGCGTAGGGGCGCGCTGGGTTGTCGTCCAAGCAACGGTTGACTTGCGCAGATGGCAAAAAACCTTGCTGCGCTGCCGTGCGTTTTTTTTTTTTTTTTTTTTTTTTTTTTTTTTTTTTTTTTTTTTTTTTTTTTTTTTTTTTTTTTTTTTTTTTTTATCTATATATATATATATATATATATATAAAGAAAGCATGCAGGTGAGAACCCCCACGTCAATGTGTGGAGGGGCCACACATCGGTTCAGTATGTCGAGGGCCTCCCTGTGTTCTAGAGCTCCAGAGCCTGAGTTTGGGAGAAAAGGGGCATATAATGACGAGGGGTTGGTGGACGGAGGGGGACGGATGGGGTCAATAGAGAGGAGGCGGGGTCAGGGATGAGGAGGGAGGAGGAAGCAGGGGACAAAACGAGAATGAAGGAGTGAAGTGGGGGGAACCGCGCGAGAGGGAAGAGGGGGGAGGAGGAGGGGACGGGGGCATGAGGGGGAGCAAGAGGCGGGCGGAGGGACGTGGGAGGAGGAGGAGCCAGTGACGAGGGAGAGGAGAAAGTGCCGATCTTGCATTCACCAGTCTGGACACGACGTTGTCAACCTCTTTGCGGTGCGCTACCTCTTTGCCTGTCCTGGTTCGCCGGCCTCACCATTCCCGACCCCGCCCCCCCTCCTCGCCATGCGTCCCCTCCAACATGCCTTCGCCCACTGTCAACTCTCCCCTCACTCAATCCTCTCCCTTCACCGTTTCTCCCCCCTTTCCCGTTCCACCCTTGCTCTCAATCCCTGCCCTCTCTCACCGTTGTCCCCCCTTTCCCTCTCTCGCCCCGACCCTTCGCAGCCGAAACCTTTCGAAGCCCTCCGAGAAAGCTTGAGGCCTCCCGAAATATCCCGAGAGCCTGCGAAGCGTGTCGAGCCTTTCGGGAGCCGTCTCGGCACGATCGAAGTGGGTACGGAAAAAATGGGCACGAAGACCGACAGCAGTCCTTGCTCATTGTGAATCGGATGTGTTGTCGGTGTCGCCGCTGACGTCGTTCATCTGAGACAGGAGGTCGCCTGGCCAGCAGCGGCCGCTGTCGGTTTTGGACAACATTTGTTGTTTCGCATCGCTCCCATTTTTTCCATACCCTTTTCGGGCGTCCAAAACCTCCAGAGACCCCCAGCAACATTGTCCGCATGCTTTACGAGACCCTCCGTAAGCTATCCGAAACAATTTACGATCAATTCGCGGGGGGCCCTTCCAAGTGGGGTCCGAGTAGATGGGGTCGGATGATCACGTCGCATCGCCGATAAGTCGGCGGTGCGGTTCGCTGTGGAGCCCAGTTTTCTACACATCGACGTCGCCGATGCATCGTCGACTTCGACGAAACATCGGCGATGCATCGGCGGTGCGATGCGATCCTCGAACCCCCTCTACTCGGATTGGTGGGCCCCTAACCCCGAAGCCCTCGCGGCCCGCGAGGGCGCGAAGTTGTTCGTCTCGAGCCGCGCCTTCTCATTCTCCTCCTCCTCCTCCTCCTCCTCGTCTCCAGGGAGGCGGCGCGAGAGTGCGAAAAGTCATTCGCGCAGCGCGAATTCGCGAGCAGACAGTCAAGACGCCGAAGTAAAGGCCGCCTTGGGCTCATGCGGGGCTGCATTTGGTCTGAGACGTCCGCCCTCGGGTGCAGCGATAGGAGGAAGAGGAGGAGGAGGAGGAGGAGGAGGAGGAGGAGGAGGAGGAGGAGGAG